ATTCTTCACATCCTCACCAATCCTTGTTATTGTCTGGGAACAGAATTGTTTTGAATAAAAATATAAAGTCATTAAGATAGAAAAATTCCAGTTAGATTATGTTGTACTCATTTAAGGAGCCTCATATATGTCACATGATGTTAGAACTTAAAGCTGAATGCCACTTTGTAGCTCTGTATACAAAACAACTCCTTGGAGTCTAATTATCTTATCATTAATGTTCACCAGATGGTTGGGAAATATAGGTTTTCTTTTATGTCTAATTGAGAGGTGAAGGGTGGTGAAATGATGTTATGTGTAATGCTGTTGAAAGTTAAATTTATTTCCGACATGCAATTAAATATAATTGAGAAAGGATAAATTGAATAACAAAATTAAATTTGCAAAATAGAGTCTGAACAGATATCATTAAATGTATGCTCTTCTCCAGAATATTGGGTGGTGAGTTGGTATTAGGACCAGAGCCCCAGATTTTCCCTTACTTGGGGTGGTTCCCACTCACCCATACTTGCCTCCTGTACTTCTCTATTTTGGCATATCAAAGGAATTCACGAGACACCTCCCAGCCAGCATGCAATGCAGAGAGAATTTTTTTTTTTTTTTTTTAAGGGCTGGAATTTAAAGTGGTCAGGAAGGAAAATAGATTCTCTACTCCTGTGGGGCTTCCTCAGACTTACACTTCTCTTTTAAGAATCTAGGAGACCTGACAATGATATAAAACACAAAAATGTAAATCTGCCAGTCCCCCCCCCCGCCCCGCACTTGTCCAGCTCTTTAGTGGCTTCACATCTCCCATTATTAGGTTAAGTTGCAGATGCATAAGAGGCCACATAGTGGTCTTTATGACCTGACCTCTGCTCACATCTTGAGCCCCAGCTGCTGCCACTTTATGAATATGGAAGTGTTTGCAGTTCCCTGAGTGCACACACTGTGATAGTCCCTCATTCTTCTGCTAGTGTTTTGTTTCCTCTGTTGGGAGTACCTTTCTCTCTCTGCAAGACTCCCCGAAGCTCCACTAGGTCCTAGACACAGCATTGATCTGTGTGCTTCGTGTACCACAGTGTTAAAAAAGAAAAGTTCCCTAGCCTTGTGGAGCTTATATTTTATCTGTGAGAGACAGAGATTAAACAGTCAACAGATATCCCTAATGAACACAAATGTGGAGATTCTCAGTAAATACGGGCAGATGGAATCCAACAAACAATAGGTTATTCATCATGATCAAGTGGGATTCATCCCAGGGATGCAAGGATGGTTCAACATACACAAATCAATAAATGTGATAGATAAGATCAACAGAATAAAGGAAAAAAAAACACCTGTATGATCATTTCAGTAGGTGCAGAAAATACAACATGATAAAAACACTCCACAAACTAGGTATAGAAGAAATGTGCCCCAACACAATAACGGCTGTATACGACAAACCCACATCTAATATCATATCGAATGGTTAAAAATTGGAGGCTTTTCCGCTAAGATCTGGAACAAGACAAGGATGCCCACTTTCCCCACTCTTATTCAGCATAGTACTGGAAGTTCTAGCCAGTGCAGTAAGGCAAGAGAACGCAATAAAGGGCATCAAAATTAGAAAGGAGGAAGCCAAACTATTCCTATTTGCAGATGAGATGATCATATACATAGAAAACCCTAAAGACTCCACCACAAAATTATGAGAACTAATAAATGAATTCAGTAAAGTAGCAGGATATTAAATGAACACACAAAAATCAATAGCCTTCCTATACGCCAATAACAAAATAGCTGAAGAAACCAAGAAAGTAATCCCATTCACAATAGCTACCAAAAAAATGAAGTACCTAGGAGTAAATTTAACCAAGGAGGTGAAAGATCTCTATAGTGAAAACTATAAAACATTGGTTAAAAAAT